CGACTGGTATTCCGTCCACATTGGAATGCGGCCGTACAGTGGCAGGCAAATCGAACACGCCTCCACGAGCTAGCTGCATGATGCATCGCCCACCAAGGTACCATGACGGGTCGAAAGCTGGGAACATGCACCCTGTGTCATGAACATCCAAGTTAGAAAGTTATCAGATTGATATGTGGGGTTTAACGTCCCAAAACCATCATATGAATATGAGAGACGCCGTAGTGGGAGGCTCCGGAAATTTCGACCACCTAGGGTTCTTTAACGTGCACCCAAATCCGAGCACACGGGCCTACAACATTTCCGCCTCCATCGGAAATGCAGCCGCCGCAGCCGGGATTCGAACCCGCGACGTGCGGGTCAGCAGCCGAGTACCTTAGCCACTAGACCACCGCGGCGGGGCAAGAAAGTTATTAGAAACACATTGTAGGAAGCCGGCGTTCATTTCCCCCGCAGTCTCGTATGCTGGTCACATGCAGGAAAATATGTCATTCATAAAGTACGTTGCATTGTTTTTTTTCGTTAGGGTCAAGCGATGCAATTTATAAAGATGTGTGCATTGACAAGTGCGCCTGCCCCTTCGCCCCCCCCCCCCCCAAAAAAAAAGAGAGGAACACTTGGTCCTGTGGAAAATAAAACAAAGAAGAAACGTTTGCCTTGAGATAGATAGCCTTGGGGCTATCTTTATTGTTCAGTTGAGGTAATCTTGGGACGAACACGCTTGTTTATCTCGCCCTTATGCCAATAAACACGAGTGCTAAGAGGCTTGTACCTGACGCATATGTGACAATGTCTGGTTGTCGAAACGGTGTCAGCGGTAAGAAAACACTGCTTGGGCTGAAACAAACGGCACGTGGTGTTTATTTATTTATTTATTTATTTACAGTACCTACAGCGCCCGCGAGGGGCATTAGTGTAGGGGGGAGATAACGATTTCGAAATGCAGAAAGGCGACAGTCCATTAATACTGAGTTGAACATAAAGAAATACAGATATATAATAAAGCATCCAATGGTGACACGTAATAAACATTGACGTGTGTGAAGGTACAGCAGCAAGAAAAATATATACATAAAATGCTCTCTCTCTCTCTCTCTCACACGCACACGCGCACACGCACACACACACACGCACACACACACACGCACACACACACACGCACACACACACACGCACACGCACACACGCACACGCACACGCGCACGCGCACACGCGCACGCGCACACGCACACGCGCACACGCACACGCACACGCGCACACGCACACGCACACGCGCACACGCACACGCACACACGCACACGCACACGCACACGCACACACGCACACGCACACGCACACGCACACGCACACGCACACGCACACGCACACACGCACACGCACACGCACACGCACACGCACACGCACACGCACACGCACACGCACACGCACACACACACACACACACACACACACACATACATACACACACACACACACACATACATACATACATACATACACACACACATACACACACACATACACATACATACATATATGTATATATGTATATGTATATATGTATATATGTATATGTATATATATATATATATATATATATATATATATATATAAACAGATAAAAACAGGCGAAAAAAAAGAAAAAAGATCTGAAACGTAGATCGCTAGAGAGATGAAACGAAAGTGTAGGCAACTTTAATGTGTGCTCAGGCTACGATAAAATATGATGTTCGAGCGCAGTGGCGAATGTTTCCCTGGACGCAGCTACAATTTCATAAGGTAGTTTGTTCCATTGCTTAATTGATCGCGGAAAAAATGAATATTTAAAAAGGTTAATTCTGGTAGCGAACTCACGCACTTTAAGGGGGTGATCAGTACGAGCAGATATATACGTGTTCAGTCATAACAGACACTTTTAGCCTAACGGAATTGTGGCTTGTGCGAACGCTTGCCAGAATAACACGAGCCTTAGACCCGTACACGGCAGCGCTGGTGATGACATGTATGCAGTGACGCTGCGAGAGATAAAGCTCGCACAATTCTTAAATGACCGGCTGGGTGTATGTATAGCCGCCTTAAGGCGTCAACGTGCTGTAATTTCTTGACACATATCCGGTATTTGTCTAGGTGCAGGTACGCAAATTGACCTATCTAGTTAGCGTTGTCTCTCCAATTTTATACAAGTCCCTGTTGTGCGATCAGTATTGTTTCTCAACACTGGTAATGCCTTCTGTTAATCGACAGCCGTGTCGGTTAAAAGTGGCACCTGTTATACGTATAATCCACATTTACGCAACACAATCTCCTCAGATAAAGCCATTGTAATGCATTCACGTATAGTTTACAGACGAATATCTGGCGCGGTATTGAACAGATACAAATCGTACGACGACAGTGGCCGCGCAAATAGCCCACATACCATTCAGTCAAGCGGTCTTGAATGAAAAAAAAGGGGCCCCGTATCTCAATGTTATACTGCAAATATCGTCGAAAGACGATAGTCTTGCGTCTGGAGAGAGGGAACAAAACGTTTATTTGATGTGTGCAAGGAAATTGGTCAATGGTGGCGCTGCGTTAGAGTGCCTCGAGCGTGCAGTGGAGGCGAAGGAGCGCATGCGTCGTCACGTCACACGTGAGACATGAGCGCCATCTGGCAGTTATCTTGAAAAACGAAGCTCGCGCGCGGCGTGCGCGCCCGTCTCGGAGGTGATAAGGTGTAGAACGCAAGGCGATGGGTAGTTGCCACCACCAATCTTAGCAAATCGTTGGAAACAGTTGCCTTTCGTGCAAGCGTTGCATGGTCAGCGCAGCGTGATAAACGCTACGGTCCATAGAATTGCTTATGTATGCCTTGTCTAGTAAAATATATACATACAAAATATTGACGTGTAATGGTGCCTCAGATATGCGCAATAATTACTGTTTAATTGACAATTGCACAAGCATGAACGCTGAACCTTGAGCAATATTCGTGGGCGCTACAGATGGCGTCGGCCGTTTGGGGCATCGGGCGGTCACTGCGGTACCTTTTAGGGTGCCGTTAAGAGTGGACAAACAGACAATTGTACATACAGACAGATCAATTTTTTTTGCGTCGAAGGTGCCCAAGAAAGACTCTCGTCTTTAAAGTACCCGTCGCCAATTTCAATTACCAATGAACGCTGAAAAAATGGTTCGCGGTGGAGTACGGATGTGAGGTGGTGGTCGAGCGAACGCCAGTGCGAGTTGATGAATGCGATTGTCCTGTCTGTGTTAATTTTTTATGGCCTATTCTCAGTTGCACATTTCACCATGTGCATTTACTAATCGGCCTAGTTTTCCATCCTGTCGTCAAAACTGAGCGGATACATGTACCGAAGCATGACGCAACCAACTCGAGCACAATTTTTGCGTTGCGCGAGTTTTCGACAGCGGTGCTCATACGCAGTGATGTTGTTAAGCGGTGTGCTCAGCTTCATCTGTGGGGTTGTCGACGATGATGACGCATTGACCTGGAATCCAGTGAGGTTAAGTATTGTCCTCAATACTGAGTATTCATTTCTCAAGTATTCAATATTCATTTAGTCATTTAAGATTCTGACTTTTGAGATTCTCGTCAGCTGAATTGTTGCGGTTACCTTTGTTTAGGAGCGGCTTGCTTGCGAGAAAAAGCTGAACAGGAATATGAACAAAGCGGTTGTGAATATTGCCTCTTTAACTGTATATGTACAAAAGGCAGGCGTCTCAAAGAATGCATGCAGTAGTTACAGTCAGCGCCATCCATGTTTGTAGGCTCTATATCGTCTCGTCGCCTCTTTACGTGTTGTTTTCATCTTAATATAATACGGGGCTTTAAGCTGTCTGAGATCCGTTGACGTACACAGAAATCGCAATACAGTGGCGCCTTTTCTATTTTTGTCCTCATAGAATTGCGTTCGTTGGACTCGGGAATATAACCTGCGGCATTGTTTTCAGCAGCAAGCAGCCATAGCTACTGAGCCATCTCTGCGTGAACAATCGTACAGATGAATAATGATCTGCTGCTCGGCGCACTATTTACCTTTTTTTACTGTCTGACCGGCAAATATCATGTGCGGATAACATCGGCTTCAACAGGCTGAAACCAATCACCTCTAAATGTTTTCCCTTGCAATTTGATCTGAAAAAGCAAGCGGGACAATTAACTGCGTTCTTATATATAGATTTGAAGGCGTACTGTCTATGCACGATGTTTGTCTTGCCGGCATTGCATAATTTTCAAAAGCTAAGTCGTTGTCGTCATCATCATCATTGCTAGCTTGTTTTATACTCGCTACAGGATGAACGTCCCTTCCAATGATCACCAACTTAATCTGAGTTCCAACGGTGATGGCACTCAGTACAAAGCCCGTGTTCCATGGATCTAGATGTCACGCATATGACGTATATAGCGAATAAACCTATTTTGAAATAGGCGTTGAAATGGGGATGGAGATGCGAACTATTCAGCCACAGGGGCTGGTATGTCAGACACGTATCGCGAACTGAGGAGGAGGAAGAAGGAAATAAGTTTCCTTGGCGTTCACTCGTTGAGAGAAAGGTTTTTCTGGCAGGACCATTAACGAGAACGATAACTTTCGTCACTCTAGAAATTTTTATTGTTCAGTATGCACCAGGGTAACCACACAAACAGAGCCCGCGATCAGAACTAGCCTCCAAGGTTGTTACCTGAATGCGTTTGACAATGGGCGTACTTGCGAGTGGCCTTCCTCGGATCCACGAAACACTTTCGTTTAGGTGTGCTTCGTGACGTGCTGACTGCTATATACGTGGCACCTTGGCCCGGTCCCGCGTGGAGCTGGCTATAAGTTGCTCGTGAGAGCCATGGACGCTTCGGAAAGGACATGGGCGAGCACATATGGCGAGTGCGCGGTGAGGCTGCCCGCATGCTCGAGTGCTCCGATGGTGTCGCGCTGCCCACTCCCACCGGGCCGCCATCCGTTCTATTTCCAAACGGGGTCTCCGTCGCCATTCGAGCCAAGGCGTCTGCCATAGGGCGGCACGAAAAACAGCAGCTAGACGGAGAAGAGAAAACGCCGTCACACGTGAATCAGCCTCCCCCTCGCCCATCGCCCTCCATGTGGTTGTCCTATTGCCGAGCGCCAGCCCGCGTGACGCCTCGCTAGCCTCCACCTGCACAACACTTTCCCGGTGCGGTTCTGCTGCGGCGTTTCTCCTAGGTAGGCGGCAAAACGGATTACTTTCACATTCCTGGCGTCGGTGAGTGTAGTTCTTCACTTTTTCTATACTCAGTGCAGGGCGAACATTCCTTCCAATAAATGGGGTGGGAGGAGTCCGCGCTTGTGAGCCATAAGTTGCGCGTAGTAAGCACGGGTCCTTCAGCGATCCGGTTCATGTGGTTTAGCGTCAACAAGCTCAACCTGGATTACGACGAATGTTGTAGAGAATCGCTACGGATTAGATCAGAAGTACACGTGTGTCTTTGTATTCACTCTTCACTTGAATGTGGTTTTCAATACTCCAAACCTAAATCTCGGGACCATAGCACCAGACTAATTGCGGCGTGCACTTGCGGCTTCGATTACGACGGTGCTCGTGACTTGACTGCTTTCTCACAGCATCACGTCCTGGCGTTCTCACAAACAGTTCCTATGCGGCGGCGACTTCGCAGTCGTGATCTCAGTTTTTCGCATTAGATTGCCTTATATTCTGATCACGGCATGACTGACATTTTTCGTCTCGGGCTGTTCGACGAGGATAAGTTGAGGAGCGCCAGCAGATCAGGCACGTTACGATTTTGCTTCTATACATGCGTACAATTACGCGTTTCGTTAGATTAGAAAAGAATAGTATACAGGCTCGGACATTACGGCCACTACAACTCGATTCAACGAAGCGTATGTCTTTTTAATGAGTGTTTTCACGTGATGTGGAGTTGGACTGGTTGTTTGAGCCTCAGGTATAAGGATATTTCGCGCAGAAAGAACACTGCTCTATGGAGCAGCAGGTGTTCGTGCTCGAGTTCTTAGGTGCTCTGTGGTGCTTTTCACGTGGTGTTAATTCCAGAGTGTACGTTTTAAGCTGTTGCTTGCAGTGACATTTTTATTGTCAAATTGTGAGTGTTTAGAATGATCTTTTAACTCGTGCGTCGAGGCAAACAAAAAGTTGTTGCAGTCCCTTCCTTTCTCTGGTCGTGTATTATTGTTTTGTAGGTGAGATGGTGTTAATGGGTCACTCATTTTCTTGCCCTCTAAACTCATATGCTGTAGCCGGACTGGTTTTTTGACCTTCAGAAGCTCAAGTGACCAGCCGACTGAAACTTTTCCTTTCGATGGCAGTATGGCAGTGTCACGTACTCGAAGGGGAAGAAATATTTTGAGCGAGTGCCAGCGAGTCGCATGCTGTAAAGACGGCTGCAGCATTCCTACATGGAGGCGTTCAGCGAACACGTTTTGAGGAAAACTTCGCGTAACCACATTTTACGTTAGTAGCGTGTGAATGAGCGTGATATATACGTCTGCCTCTCGCAAGGCTAGATTAGATCTACATGTTCTTTCTTTCTTCCTTCCTTTCTTTCTCTCTCTTTCTTTTTTTCTCTCTTTCTTTTTTCTTTCCTTCACCAGCACAAAGCCTGTAGAGTGCAGAACTTACCTCGCCAGTGCTTTGTTTTGTACGTGCGGCTTAATTGTTAGGTCAGTGGGCAGAGTGGCATTTAAGTTCACTACATACTAGTGTTTTTGTTTCGCAGTAACCAGTGAACATTGCGACTTGAATCGCAAAGCTCGACACGGCCATCGGCGTCGAATGCTTTTGCGTTTATCGCGCATAAAAAACGCTTATCATTTACAGGTAGATCGGGACCTGTGCCCGATTCAACTTGCTACATGAGTTGTGCTGTGACGCGGCGCGGCTTCGTGGCGTTTGATGTTGCGCGACTAATTTGTACCAGATCACACGGAACTGACACGCCACAAAAAATAATTTGCTTGACTTTATACTGTATAAGTACTACTCGCATGCCAGAGGAATGTGACGGTGCGTTACCTCAATTGACGCACACGCATTTTGAGGTCGTGTTTAAACAGTTGCCTGGAAAAGTGTTTTCTTGAGTACGAAAAGTGAATGTTCGTTATTTTTTATGCCTCTGATTATCACCTTTAAAACATTAGGATTAACGCCATGAGGACAAGATAGAATATAAGCTTGGAATATATTTCAATTTAGGAATTTACGCAAGACCACGAGCAAAAGAAATCCAGACAGCTGCACATTAATTCTTTGGGTCAAGCTGAAGCCCTTAAGAAACATCACTGATCTGTGAAATGAAAGACGAGTTATAATTTATGAATGTAATAATGAGCAATTGATGCTCGCCACATTTTTCGAACTATTGATTGAATAATTTTTTTCTTCTTGATTACTTGCGAACTGTAATACTGTTTTGCCGCATGTTTGGGATTATGTTGATTTAGTGTTCAATCGCTACCGAGCTCGTGCAGTTACGAAAGTTTTTCAGCTGGCTCCACTGCGTTGACTCGATGCGTTTCTTTTCGTAGCCGTGTCGTCGCGAGGGTAGAAATTCTCTGGACTTTCGCCAGAGCGTGGGAACACTGCGTTTATCTTTAGACCGGATTGGGCCAACCTCCGGTTTGTGCGCGGGGCTTTCCTCTTCAGAAAACATCACCGCAGAGGGGAAAACAGAATAAAAAAGAAACGCTGACAAAAACCCCGTCGCCATTTTCACGTATGTCTATGTGTACGTTGCGACATGTCTGTAGGCACGTCTACGCCGTTAGTGCCCGGAATGTGCCGCTCTTGCAGAATCGCGCTGTGTATAAGAGCGCAGTAAAGATAGTGCACTCAGCAACGCTTACGATCGTTCAAGCAACGAAACAAGTGAGTACTTTGCATAAAAGGCGTGCACGACGTCGGTGGCGGATGATGGCTCTGTTGCTGCTGATTTTTTTTTCCTCCTTCGGTACTATGTGGGTTGCTGCTGAGGCGAATCGCTCGAAAAGGATGAGCCGGCTTTTTTTCCTGCAAGGTTGCTTACAATCTGCTTCAGAGCGTGTGCCTGCCTGAAAAAAAAAAAAAAGTGTCTCCGTGGTAGGCTGTTTGTCTTTTTTCTTCCCTGGATTTCTATTCGTGGGTAACTCCGTGGGCTAAGAATTTGTCGGGAAGATATTACGCCGTAATATAGCGTTTGCTTTAAATTCCACTTCTTGTCTCTGTTGTCTAGAGTGGGACCGTTGCTAATTATGAAAATATTTCATACATGTGCCCTTCAGTTGGGATGAGAAAGTGGGCTATGTATGGACTGTTCTTAAATAAAAATTTCCGAAAATTGCTCGATGAAAATGTGAGACTAAAATTTTTTTCGGCACTTATCTCTCTGCAGACATCATAGTGGCTTTGGAATACGCAAATGACATACTTTGGCGATAAACTTAACTAGTAAAGTTTCTATATCAAGGCTTCAGAGGCCACATTACGAATCGATTCAATGCAACCTGTAATAAAGCTTTAATTTAGCATTTCGAAGCATTTTTGCCAAAATTGATTGACGTTCACGCATATTCACGAAGCAGGTGAAGGTGTTCGTTTGGTTTTTATCGGGAAGGGAGGGACACTAATAAGTGAATGAGATTATTTGGCGACCAACTTCGGAAACGAACAAGGCTCATGCCATTTGTGGAAACCCGTAGTGTACGAAGATTCCTTCAGTATACAGGTTTACTGTTGGAATTTAGAGAAATAGTGCTGCCGCACTGAATCACAAGGCGTGGGTTCGATTCTAGCCGCGGCGGTCCCGTTTCGATAGAGGCGGAATGCTTGAGGCTCGTGTACTTATGATTAAGTCACGTCAAATTTTCCGGAAGTCGAAGCGCTGCCGCGTGCGTCGCCTGTTCGTCGATCACGCCATGTATCCAGCTTCGTATTGCGCTTCCTGGTGTCAGCTCCCTCTTCAAGTAAATCGACATAAATCCGTTTCTTCGCACGCCCCGTGTGTGACTTCACTGTAGGAGTACACTCGACAACGCCGGCTGTTACCGCGTCCCGTGAGCGCTGCGCTGTCGCCGTGTTGCCGAGGCCTCTGAACGCTCGGCGCATGCGTGCTAGGCGGGAATGCGGCGCGGCAGCCTCTTCCTGTGCATGGGTGGTGTGTGCGCAGCTGTGCAGACCGCAAGCGACCGTGACGGGTCGGCCCATTGTTTCTCATCAGGTGGACCTGAAAGCGGAAGCTGACTTCATAAAAAAAGTGCCGGTAGGTATACATAGAGCTTCCGCTGGAGTAAAAAAAAAAAGAAACGCCATACCGGACTTATTATCGCGCTCAGCGATAAGAGTGTGCGCCATATACACGACAGTATACGTGTACTTGGTGGTCGGGGCAATGGAGCCCTGAAGGACAATGGGTGCGCCGCTCGTGGTCTAAGAGAAAGGCACGACTTCAGAGTCGAGAGGGCGGTACCAAACACGCTCCGGTGTTTTTGCGTGTCTCGAAATGGCGTCTTTGCGATGGAAGAATTTCGATTGCTTTTGATTGAAATAATTTTATTTATTTTCACCTCGTAAATAGCCTGATGTACTATGAGAAAGGATGGCGGAGTGAGAGGTGCATTAAATGCAGCTTTCACTTCGTCCCCACTTTCAACGTAGCATTCGCAGTATAAGGTTATGTGAGAAGCTACGCATATTTCCACCCATTGCATTGGATATAGGCAATATGCATGTATATATGTATATATATATATATATATGTATATATATGCATATATTTTTATATATATACGCAGATTATGAAAAGTTTGGCTTCGGTTGCCGTCAAATTGAGGGAAAATAAGTATACCCTTCTAAAAAAATGTTTATTGGCAACGTTTCGATCGGAGACCGATCTTCATCAGGTTGTGATGACGATCGGTCTCCGATCGAAATGTCACCAATAAACAGTTTTTTAAAAGCGTACATTTATTCCCCCCCATATATATATATATATATATATATATATATATATATATATATATATATATAGCGTAGGAAAACAATAGCTTGAACGTGGTCGCGCAATATGTCACTGATATTTCGGTTCTTTGTAGCAAGTTGCAAAAAGAGTAGCTTGCTGAAGCTATTGAGAAGAGAGATACGGTACGCCCTTTCACACATTTCCTCTTTCGCTTGGCGTATAATCGTCATTTGCTTAGGCTTACTTTTTTCTTTTTATGTGTTTGTGAAAGGGGCAGGTGGACGTGGATTACCTTCCTTTATTGCCTATAATCACCCCTCCCTTAACATCCCTGCCGTCTATATATACGAACAAATGCAAGCACGAGGTTAACAGCCGACTTCGAAAGCTAATGCACGAAAATCGCGAAAGTAAGATTTTCTTATGACCGTAGGCATGCTCAGGGTTCCCCTTCAAGAAGTGGGGGGGACGAAGATTTTTTGTGGCGCCCACCTCCCCTATTAAGTCAATGTATGGCTAAACTCCACCCCCTCCCCCCACCTCTTTAGGTAACCAGGCGGGAGGAGAACCAGCTGGGCCTTTGCCTCCCTTTGCCCTGTGCGTGCACCTTTGCGTTTGACCCCACCACAGTCGCTAAGAATGGAGTTTCTTGAAGTGCTGATTATGTTTAACGGTCGAGCACTGTCTACGAGAAACTCCACAGTAAGCTGCTTGGCATTATTTCAACCATTCGGTGATCACTGACACTCCTCCGAAGTGCACAATAGCTATATCGCTTTCAGCTCTCATCGGAACATGGTGGAATGTAGCTTGTAACTTAACCTTCGACCAAGCGAGAGAGGCAGTGATCTAATCGTCATCGTCAGAACTACGGGAACACCATTTCTACTGTATACATATGAATCTTCTTAAATTACATCGTGCATACTTGAGAATCAAAACGGCGTCTCCTAGTCCCCGTTGTGAACTCTGCAGCTGACAACAGCGTCACACAGCTATTATGTGCAGGAACAGTCTGCGAGTGGTCTTATTTAGCACTGTATAAAGGTATCTGTAGTTACACGGAGGTATACGAAGCGAGCCTTTGGGTTTGAACTGTGGCACGTTCATGACCTTGTGAATTTTCCGGCGCTTTTGTCGCGACGTTGGCACGTCGGTAGGATACCGGCTGCTAAACGCCCCAAATTGCACAGGGGCACAGCAAAGCAGATACGATCATCAAAATTTGCCATTCGCTGCCTTGGCATCATACTCTAATTCTTACACTGCATCATATACCAAAGTTTGAAACGTGCTGGCCGACAAGATCGTCTTACTGAAGCATTATTGAACGAAAAAAATAAAGCCGTACGGATCCGCAGTAATGCCTTATAACGTCAACATTTCAAAATAATAAAATAAGTGCAATGTTTCATCTGCACGATCACTCGCACTACTACTTGTCCGTGAGGATAAACGTTTGTTGGTCAGTAAACTTTGCGAATATTCAAAATGAGTTACATTTTAAATGCATCATATAGATTTTTGTAGCTGTATATTGAATCCGATTTGAAACCTGTACCATAATGTGCGACAGCCATGCTTTGTAGAGTTTCACTGACGATCACGCGCGCTTTTCGATATCGAGAATGAAGCTAGTGGTTGACTTGCATGATTTGGAAAACGTCTAGTGGTGCTTCCGAGATGCGACTTGTTGACGATATTACGCAAGACGCAAGGGCGCCGTCCCATTGGGCTGTTAAACTGTCAGTATATGCCGACGTGAAATTAACAAGGTCATGAGGTGTCAAACGTACCAACCCAACGTTTAATTGTTAAAAGTAAACTGTAACCTCGTGAACAGCCCAACATAGCGGCACTGAAACCCGCAAGTAAGGTAGTCTGTAGGCGGGTGGAGAGAAATCAAGCTCCACGTATCAAAAAGTATCAAAAAGGGGGCGTTCCATGAAATGGCAATGGAAACTCAGCCTGTATCCAGTATGCCCAAATTTTTCTTCCCTAAATGGGGCCGATAGGCGATAATTGACGCACACACGCACAAAAAGAGACAGCGCTAACCAAACCGACAACGAAAAAGTTTTCGCAGGAGCGCTGAAACGATTTTGCCTCTATTGAAAATAGCAAACTCATAGGATGGAGGCATTATGCATTGAATATGCACTATGGCATCAGAAAGTTTTGCGCGGCCCTTGCCGCAGTCCCAATATTTTATTTTTATTCATTGAATTGTACTTATTCAAAGTATCTTACTGGCCTCTTTTTGGGGCGCTTCGTGAGAGGCGAAATCATTTCTATATGGTAACACACAACCACAACTTAAAACAGTGTTTACATATGTAAAAGTTGAAATGTATTTTTTTGATATCGGGCTGCTCCTAACATATACGTTGTTATCTTATAAGTGTATTACAGAGCCTCGATTCGGTCTCATAGGAAGACTTTTCAGAACTTTCGGTGCTCTTTAAAGGGATCAGGTGAAGCACACCGCACAACTTCATTGTTGCCCCTCCGCAGAGTAGAATGGACGTCTGGACGACTCTGTTCACCAATAGAGGGTTGCACCGCCGTCGCAGAAGGGATTTTGTAAACTATGCGTTCGTAGTTCTCTTCATGAACTCGAAAGGAAATAAAGAAAGCAAGCGAGCTCACCTCATGGCTGTTGTCTGGGCGCAGAAATCATCAGTGAGTGAGCCTTCGAGACCCGCCTGACGATGAGCTACCCCCAGCAGAACCCCTACTACCCGCCGCCTCAGCCAGGATTCCAGATGCCGCCACAGGGTGGCTACTACCCGCCTCCGCAGCAGCAGGCGCCCTACTACCCACCACCGCAGCCGCAAGCCACCACCGTGTGAGTATCGGTATTTGATTTAGGAGCCAAGCTCCTTAGGCTCTCACCATGTCCGACCATTATCGTCGAGGCTCACCCTTAGTCGAAGCACAGGTGCGAAACATCTGTGCGCAATACCGTCTACAGAGCGTACATGGCGCGCATATGGTTTAAAACATTTTCATAAACATTCTCTATATCGTTTATTATTTCGTCAATGGAGCTTGGCGCCATCATCGGCATTCTCTTCGTGGATCTGCAGCCATTTTCAGGTGTGTATCTCTATGGAGTCCCGGTTCATCGTCCATCCATTCTCTCATGATGCATGGTGGGGCAGCATGGTTGATGTATACAGGCCTAACGCAACAAGAACGCTCAAGACAAGTGCGAAATAAAGGAAAAGGTCTAAAGTAATATAAATCACAGAAATAACGAAGAATTAATTGCAAAGCAATTACCTCAAACTGTCAGAACTCTTCTGAGACATCTGACTGATATCCGGGCCTTGCAAGAGAGGGCACTACCGCCCCGGCAAGCACGTGATTGTCAAGGGAATCACTGAATCGCCCGTGCGGCGCACTTCCACACGTTTCGCGTTAGTGGAGCTGCATTAAAGGGGCCTTCTAACACTTATCACGACCTCATTGTTTCACTTGTTTTTCTAGCCATGGTTGCGTCGCAAGAACGGCAGTGATAGGGGCACGCAGTGCAAAGTTATTCGGCGTTCAGCCTCAACTCTATTTTCGCGGGCTCACAGGACCGTGTTTTCCTCGCCCTGTGATGTCGGAAGGCTGCCCAATGAAATGAACTGAGAGGCTTACCGTAAAGGAAGCTTGCATGCCATATTATCCGTTATTTTCGACGCCATTGCGATGCTAACGAATGGGTCTCCCAACCTCTGCCAGGGGGCACTGCGTCGCGCGCGTTTCGCCGCCTTTGAAAGCTGGTCGCACGGTACCCCGCTCTCGCCTTCTGCCTGCGCCATCTCGGCACGTTCACGCGCTCTGCACGCGCTGTTATCTGGTCGCCCTCCGCGTGCAGCGTCACCTGTGACTTGCTCCGAAGGTTTAAAAAGATTATAAAAACTGGTGTGAATCTTATCAGAACCGAGAGCGATTAATTGACAACCTTTGCGGGACCAAGAAAGTTAAACACGATGTCTTTGAGCGATTGCTATGTGAATGTCGATGGTGAACAGCCGGCTTTCTGTGACCTTAAAAGTGAGGTGATGGCGCGAATTCTATATGTATGTTACCGGTAAAACGCGCATTTGCTGCGGCTTTCGTGTCTTCTCGGAGCTGTCGGCAATCTAGCGGATTCACGTGCATTTGTATATAGCGTTCGAATTTCTATTGTTTGAATGCCAAGTTTGTCACGCGGATTTCAATTTATTAGGATGTCTGTGTGAACAGACTAAACTTACGTCTGCCCTATTCAGTCCCTGGCTCCATTTCAGTGCGGTGGGTTCATTTTGATAAGAGTTTCACTTTTGCTGAGGTTTTCATCGGATGTTAACAAAGTCGTATCGTAAGTTCAATGACACCTTTGATTTTTGCAGCTCCTTTGAAAGTATAACGATGCGCGCAAAAAAAAAAAAAGTATTTTATGCCCACTTCGACCATGCAAGTTTCTTTCAGCGTATTCTTCATTTCGAATACCCACGCTTGATCACGCAGCGTGTTCACTGATTCGAATGTAGATTAGGTTGTTTTGACAGCTCGTTTAGTCGTTGTTAATTATTGATACGAGGAGTATAACGTCCTAAAACCACTATATGATTATGAGAGACCCCCTAGTGAAGGGCTCCGGAAATTGGGACCACCTGGGGTTCCTCAACGTGCACTCAAATCTGAGCAAAAGGGCCTACAACATTTCCGTCTGCATCGGAAATGCAACCGCCGCATCCAGGATTCAATCCCACGATCTGCGGGTCAGCAGCCGAGTACCTTAGCCACTAGACCACCGCGGCGGGGCGTTTGGTCGTTGTCATATCACACAATACTCATTAGAACCGCGCATGTTCTTTAGTAGCGCCGAGATTTGCCCCTGATCACCGCGTCAAATTTCGTGAAACCATAGAAAATTTGATATCTGTCTAGGTTCTTTTTTCAACCAGTTTTCATAGCGGCAGCTGTATATCACGCGCGGCTCAGGTGCATGCAAGCACATATTTTACGTGCCATAACCATCATACCATTAGGAGGCACGCCGTGGTTTGAGACTCCAGAGTGATTCTGGCCACCTGAGTTTTTTTTTTTCGGGCACCTAAATTTATTTGAAGTGTATACGGCGCGACGAAAACGGACAGAGGGTGCACACACACCGAGTGTCACTTCTGTTTACATTGAGCGTCATACCACCGTACGCTTGAAACATGCAACACCAACACGCCCTGTCTATCATTCTTGCACCAAAATCTGAGCGCACTGTTACTGCGTTTCGCTGCCATGGAATTGCAGCTGGCGCATGCGGGAATCAAACTCTTGACTTCGATCCTAGCACCAGAACACCACATCATGCGAACTTATCGGCGGGTGTTGCTTGCAAGAACTGTGCATATAAACGCTCAGCGCGAAACCGCAGCACAAATCTGTTTACACTGAGCGGCGACGAGAAGTCTACAGCCATCGGCTGAATAAAACACTTGCAGGGCTCACAGTACGGTATTTTAAGCGTATTAAGCCAGCAAGCTCCACCGCTTTCGCACTTCCAATGATTGTCTCGGAAAGCCAGAGCCCAATTGCGAAATAAGCAGTGGTTGTCTATTTGCTGTAGTTTCAGTTAACAAACACGCTTTCTTAAGTTCGGCCATCGCGTTTCTTCGGCCATAAATTCGGTCGTCGCGTTTCAAGTCACAGTTTATAGTACTATTCGGCCATCGCTTTTCTTCGGCCATAAGTTCATCCATCGCGTTTCTTTCAGTTAATTAATAGTTTGTAATACTGTGCACGACAAAAGAACTTTCAAAGTAACGAGACCGCGGAGTAACGGCGAACTGCCATAATCCACTCTTGACGCATCTGCTTCTCGCACTGCTTGCACTGAAAACGGTAGAACTCGACGGACAGTTTTCAGGCCTTCGTCATGTTTAAACTTTAGTAGCAGCTCACAATGCAGCAGTAGTGCGTGCCTGTTTTTCAGAATGACGAAGGAGCGCTGCCCATAGCGTGCGAAATGCGAGATAAGTGGTCGAAAGAACTCGCTTTTCATGCGCGCAATGGGGAAAGCCCAGCAAGCGCGGCCCGTCCGAGCTCCCGGAACTTTGCCCTCTTTCCGCTAGGGCGGTGAACGGCGCTGCGCAAGCTTAAGCGTGTTCTCCCTATAACATGGTACTTGAAAAGGGAACGACACGTGAGAAACGAGGCAGCTCGCGAACGTTTGTACATCGTTTTGTAGCGTTACTGGCCTTTCTTTTTGCGATGGCGTCTATATATTAACGCTCTGAACATTTTTATTAGTTTCTTTAAACAACGGCACCTGGAGCGTTCCCGGTGCGTTTCCTCCATCACCGTAGAGTTCGGTGCATTCTTTGACCGGCTGTACAGCTTTCAAGCTGAAAAATTTACGCAGCTTTATTTCCTTCAGCATTCAGTGAAAAACCGTGCTCAAGTAAAAAGAAATGCAAGTGTAATTGCTATTTCGATGCAATGCCGCGTTTGCATTTAACATTACCTTTAATAAATCACAGGCCTGCGCCTTCCGTTGTCATTTGCGCTCGCAATAGTTCTGGTGAGCGCCACTGTATGAGTTATGCAGTCAGAACCAATGTTTTCAAGCGTTAGAGGGTCCCTTTGCGCAGCATCTGGAACTACAGCGACACCTCCGTGAGAACGGTATTAGCGCGGTCGTTTCTCTCACGAATAGCTCATGCGAGCAGTATGGGATATTCAACAACCAGAGAGTTAATATTCGAAGTAATTACTGATAGAAAAAAATAGTGCTTCAAAAAATGTCCCTAAAATAACGTATGAATGAGGCCTTTAGTGTTAGGGCACTACACCAACTCTAAGCTGATGATAGTTTAAGACAAGTACCTGACAGCGGAATTTAGTGAATCAACGAGGATTCGCTTATTCCGTTACCGCAGAGCGTTTCACGCCGGCTGCGCCTTTCGGAAGTTTTGAGCTGACGCAGGAAGTATCGAGAAAAGGGAACCACTCAGCTCCGCAGATGGTGTTGACTCCACTCGCACCAAGCTATCTGCTTGTATACGGCGCCTCAACTCTATAAAACTTCAACACGTTCCTTCGTATGGTATATAGGCGTCTTTTTTACGAAGACTCATGTACGTGATCGCTTCCGGAGGGGCTAGGCTCCCTTTTTTGTTTATTTTATCTCGACGCATGGCTGCATATCGGAGTTATGTTGGCAGAATAAAACAGAGTAGAGTTGCCAGGGAAATGCACATCCACTTTTTAAATGCTGCGTACGTAACATTGCTGGTTATAATGACAGCATCGAACAGGAATGTGTGGCATGTCATGAAAAGCCTTTGGGAAATTGTTTTGAACCAGTTTAGCTGGGAATACCGAGATGCTATTGCTGATATCCTCAAGCACAGAGATGGCGCAAACAGATCGATGCTATGTATTGTACTTTTGACATGGGCATTTCCCACATTTGGAATGTCCATAAAAAATGGTGGTTTCCAATCCCGCTCATAGGTTAAAACTTGCCATAAAGTAACAAAAGAACAGAGATATTCCACGGCTGCAATGAAATACACACAGTTCTGACGAGGTTACAGCTCGTCAAAGGCGCTTGAACTTTACAAGAGGCACAATTGCTCGTATCCTGACGACGTCACACAAAAAGGAAACGAGCAAACGCTTGGCGCCCAGGCCACCCTTGTTAACGCAGCTTGTTAGCGCGAGACTGGGGCTCTGATCTTGGTAAAAATGGAAAGGCACAGGAAAGGAAAGCTAACATAAGCTTGATGGGCGCAGCCAATGGTTAATGGTGTGCACTATATGCGTCGCTTCTATTTAATCTCCCCACAGCCGTTCACTAGAAAGTTCGGC